GTTTCTTTTTCAATAAATTTATAATTAGGTAGCTTGGCTAGGTTTGTCAATTCGATATCATTTCTGTTTTGAGTAACTCCGGTACCAGTTGAAAAGATTATTAATACAGAAAACACAACAAACATAAACTGTATGGCAATCATAATTCCAATTTTCCAAAAATTAAATATATTTGTGTTCAATGACTAAGTTAAACAATATATTTAATAGATGTACGTATTTAATAAATTATTGTTATTTTGTTCAAAACGAAACCAATTTAATTATTTTTGTTGTACTAATAAAAAATTATTGGCAAAATCGTATTATTTTATTGATATTTATATGTTTCTAAATGCTATTTTTAATTTCCTCGAATGGTTTTTTATTTATTGCCTATTTGACAAATATTTTAGGATACTAAACAACCATTAGTACAATAATCGTTATTTTTGACACCGGCTGTTAAAATTAAAATATTTGTTTAAATTCTCAATATTTTTTTTCAGATATTAAAAATCTTAAACACTAGGTTTCGCCTAGCAGTGGCTCTACCCTAAACCCGGCATCCTACACCTAAGGCGCGTTAAGCTCTCTGGGCTGCCCTTATACGTCGGCTACTGATACCTGTAGTAGTATCCAGTATAGCCGGACACGATATGTGGTCTGTAAAAATAGTATTACTCCAAAAGCCACATACTTTATCTTAATCAGGATATTAATAAGGAACTAGTAGATTATGTAGCTTTTGGAATAATATACCATTTTTTTTAAATTAAACGCTATCTAAAGATTTGCATCGAAACGTTTTTTTTTTATAGTGATTTTAATCACTGTCAGATTAAATTTATACTGGACCCAACTATGCCACGTCCCCACTGTACTAGGGTTTTTTTTTTGATATTAATGTTTATTGTGTATAAAACGTACATAAGTATTATACAACAAAAAAAATATTTTATCCAATTTTTAATTGTTTTTATAAACATGCATAAGACACCTAGGAGTATTATTAGTATATATATATTTATTTATTTATTTATTTATGTACACATATGTTTGTTTGTTATTTAATACCATCGTTATTTGGTAAATTGAGTAACAATAAAAAGTCTTAATTTTAATCGTTTTAGTTAAATTCATCACCAAAAATATTTAATCGAGATAAAATATGTAATATAGTATGATAACTCTTATTAGTTAAATTATATATAAATAAACCAATATGTAATACACGAGAAAAGGAATACAAATGTATTCTGTATTTTCCGAATCAAAATTTGTGAAAATATGTTTACTAACTTTAAACTAGTAAATGATTTACTTCAGTGTAACTATCAAATGTTCATCGGGTGGAATAATGATAACCTTAGACGCATCTTGCTTTTTCAATTTATCGCCTAAAAGTTGTAGCTATACAGTAAACAGTAATATCTAATTTTATTCGGTTCTTGTAAAAATGTTTAGTCATCTTTTAAATTATTAATACAATATTCTCTTTTCAAATTTGTTAATTTCGTATTATATTTTCATATTATTATATTTATATTTATAATAGTACCCAAGAAGTGGCAAGATATCTTTTTTTTTTAATATTGACGACAATGATGATTAATTAAAAAACGGATACATTTGTAATTATGATAAAAATAATTATAATATAATAATAATTATTAAATTTAATTTAACAACTAATTATGAAATATTTTTTATGTTTTTCTATGAATAATTTAATTTCAAATTAATCACATTTCAAAATTGTTGAAAAAAAATCAACTTTTTCTAATTGAATCGTTTGTATAGAATACTTAGTATGATACTTATCATCTCATCGAAAGACGTTATAGACATGCGAAATTATTTTTTGTATAAACTCCTCGCGGTGTTGCCATAATATTAAAAACATTTTAAATCATTGAACATTTTTTAATTTTAGGGATATACTCACCGATAACGCTTATTTCTTTTCCCTTTTAGTTTTTTCCGAACTTAGTGGTTTTTATACATAGTGTACAGAACAAAAATCGAATTTACATCGTCTAAAATGAAGTACTTTTTTTTAAATCATACATTTAAAAAATAACAAATAGGATCACTGAACACGAGTCAAATGAAAAAGAAATTGGAAACGTTATCAACAATAATTTTTTGCCGCAAGTCCCAAACACAGCGTAGAGTCTTAACGCGCGTTTAAAAACGTCTAGTGTAAAACTGGCTTTATAGTTAGGAAAAAATTAACGAGTTTAGGTAATACCACAGATTAAATCGTTAGTGTCCGTCAACTGACACTCAGGTCCGGAAAGGAGGCTGACGACCCCCAGGAGCACAATAGTTGTGGCAGCCCAGCTCGTCGCAAAAAATATTTCTATCGCTCATTAACAAGAAAAGATGAGTAAAATAAAAATTGAAGTTTAAAAATAGATTGCACAAAGCGGATTGCGCTTATTGTAGCGGCCTCCGTACTCTATAGCAGCGGTTCCCAATTAGTGTGAAGCCACGGACCCCTAGCTATAACTTAAATTGGTCCACGGACCCCTTTTTTGTAAATACTTACTTTTCAATTTTATTTTATTATGAAAATGAGAAATTTGAAAGTTATTTGTTATTTTCAAGTTATTTGAAATAACACCTTCAAACTTTATGAGACAAGTGAAATCTTTCTTTTTTGTTCATAATTTCGTCTAAGTCTGGCAGCATGCTTGATATTTTAACTCTTAAATCAGCGTCAATATTAAGTCTATTACGATATTTATTTTTCATGTAACAGTAGGTAGAAAAAGCTTGTTCACATCTATATGTTGTGCAAAAGAGGATCAAATGTCTTAAAGCTTTCTCAGCCAGTTGCTTTTGATTATTTTGAATCAGATATTTCACTCTTTACCTCCTGTGATAAACATTCACACGAAGATTCCAAAAAAGATTGTAATGAAATGTATAAAAAAGGACACACGGTACTAATCGCTGACCAGTTATGACTGAGAAGAAAATAATCAGTATGGTTTCACGTTCTGAATTATAGTAATAACAGTGTAATAGTGAAGATAATAATGATATTTATTTCTATGAAATTGATTATCTATTTTTTTCGCGATAATCAAGTTTTAATAGTCTATAAATACTCGGAATTTCATATTACTACAAAGTTAATAATTTCCTAAAATAAAATAAAAATTTTACAACAAAACAACATAACCGCGGACCCCCTAAAAACAACACGCGGACCCCTGGGGGTCCGCGGACCACCAATTGGGAACCGCTGCTCTATAGACAGCGGCCAGTGGATGATCCGCCACTGATGGGTATCAATTGGGGCCGTAAATATTATGCCATCGGCATTTTAAAACGTCTAATGTAAAAAGATAAATGTATTCAATAATGTAGCATAGCTCATTTTGGATACGAATTGTTAAGGGATTCGTATTTTTCACTGTCATTAGCTATTAATTCTGGGAATTCCCATTTGGTCTCGGCGCGCGATTAAAATTAAACGTGATGACTAATATGAAAACCAATGGGTAATATGGGACCTATAATGTGTACTGTTCGTATCGATTAGTGTGAGCGGCTGGTGAAAATATGAAAAAGTTGTGATAGAAAATTTCGAGCTACGGCGAATTCCAATAAATAACGTTTGTTGTCGTCGGCCACGAAAAACAAATTCTCCATTTGCCATGCCGTGCCAACGAATCGAGATAGAAACCGAAAACGCGATTAAAACCAGTCACGACGCACGTCGAAACGACTTAAAAGGCGTCCGTTGAGTCGTTCCGTGTTTGATCGAAAACGTTTTGGCTAAAAGACAAATTATCACGGACCCATCGATTGTTGGTTAATTAATTCCCTATGAAACGAGTACCGACCGTGGAAATTTCGTTTCCAATATACACATTCTCTGTTTTCTTATATAATATATATATTTTTTCGGCTAGGTGAATTTTTATATTTTTTAAGTTTCAATTATGAGCGAGGAGTAAGTTTTTATAGAATGTGGTAAGGCACTACGACTATGGTGCACGATTTAGCAGAAAATTCAAAGTGATTCAATTTTCTTTAACTTGACAGTAATACTTTATGTTGTAAAAATTTTTCATGAGAATCAATTTTATTTCTTTTCTGAAGTATTATTATAGTCTTCATATACTTTTAGATTTGAATATTAAACCAACTGAATTTTTTTTTACTACTGTGAACCGATTTAAATAATTCCATCTTGACAAGTATATTAAGATAAAATGATAATCGTTTTTCGATAATGCACCAATGTTATTGATTTGTTTTTGTTTTTTAGGCTTTGTCGTTCGACTTGTGATATATATTTGGATATCATTGGATAACAAACGAACTCCTAATTTAACTAGTCACCAGAGAAATTAAATTGATGAGTGCTATTCAAATTTTCCAAACTACAACAGGTTGGGTATGTTGAAACATTGTTGATTAATTTAATTTAAAATAAAACCAATGCATTTGTTTTTACCGTAACAACTAGTTAATGATATTCTTTAATTATTCTGTCATTTATGAAAAACAATTTAAGAATAATTTCTTAATTGCTCTTAAAATTAGATATATGACTAGTTTAGTATTAAAATTTTTACACTATTAATCATATTGAATTTAATTATTCTTATTTTATTTCACAGGTTACCTTTATGAAGGGTTTACATGTTGTTGAATGGAATAGGTTATGTAATTAAAATATTTAGAAATTATTCGTAATATAATAGTATATAATATCAAATATCAAAACATATAATATAAGAGATGTACAACGGCAACGGGTCACTTTACTCGATAGACGACGAAATTATGACTAAACTGTAAACATGTATACAATAGGCTGCATTGAATAAAACAACATAATCATAAAAGGAATGTGTCCCTTTGACCTTGTACTATACTAACATAAGTAAAAATACATTAAACTGTTATCTTAAATAATATTACTGTACCCAGTGTGTTGTTTAATAATATAAACACTTCCCCTTAAACAATACACCCGTACATAGTTAATTAAAAAATTATAAATCTATAATTCCTAACATTTCTCTGAGTTCTTGACATCTTGTTCGTGGTGTTGGCTTGGTCAAAATGTTAGCTAACTGCTCTTTGCTGGTCACATACTCCAGTGAAAACATCCCTTCATTGATCTTCTCACGAATATAATGATAATGAACATCTATATGTTTAGTTCGTTTATGGAATTCTGGATTCTTCACCAATTTTATGGCACTTTGATTGTCCGTATACAGAACAGGTGTCTCTCCCTGTGTTTCCAGAAGATCACTTATTAGTAGCGTCAACCAAGTTAATTCCTGGACTGCTTGACTCGGTGCCATGTATTCAACCTCAGTAGTTGGGAGTGCTACCGATTTTTGCCTTTGTGAACACCATGCTATTATTCCATTAGTCATCATGAAAATGTATCCTGATGTTGATCGCCTAGTTGTTGTATCACCAGCATAGTCTGCATCACTATAACCATGTAACTTAAGTTTCACCCTAGAATAAAAAAATAAACCATAGTTATAGGTTCCTTTTAAATATTTTAAAATACGTTTCACCGCATTCCAATGTATTATCAGAGGTTTTTCTAAATAGTGACTTACAAAATTTACAGCAAATGTTATGTCAGTCCTTGTGATCTGACTTAGATATAACAAACTTCCTACTGCTTTTCTGTGTGTAACTTCCCCTGCTTGTAATGATTCAGATAAATTTACATCTAATGAGTGTTGTGGATCTGCAAGAATGCATAGAGCGTTGGATTCAACCATATTGAATCTCTCCAAAACGCGTTGACAATATAATGATTGATGAATAAATATTGACCCATCTGATCTCTGATCAATTTCAATTCCCAGAAAATGATTAAGTTCACCTGATTTTTTCAGGTTGTCAGGTTTTGTCAAAGTTGCTCATCAGGTACTTCACCATCATGTCCACCTGTTCATCATTTGTTGCTGCTATAATCCCATCATCTATAAAAATAGCTACAATCATTAATTGTTCATTTTTATTACTTATAAATACACAGAGATCTGCCTTTGTTTCTTTTAGATCAAAGTTTAACAACAAATTTTTAAATTTTGTATTCCAGAACCTGAGTGCTTGTTTTAATCCATACAAGCTTCGTTGAAGTTTGCAAACTTGTTTAGTTCCATCTTCATAACCTTTTGGCTGGTTCATGTAAATCTCTTCTTCAAGATCACCATATAAAAATGCTGTTTTAATATCAAATTGTCTGAGTTTTAATTTTCTGGCTGCTGCTATTGCTAGCAGTCTCGTATAGAGTCATACTTTACAACTGGACTAAAAGTTTCTTGAAAATCAATTCCATGCTCTTGTGCATAACCTTTTATTACTAATCTGGCTATAAATCTATCAACTCCTCCATTTTTCTTGAGTTTGGTTCGATATACCCAGCCATTTTCATTCTTTTTTAATGACAACATTTCTTGATCCATTGCTTCTTTCCAATCTTCTGAATTTCCTTTTGATATAGCTTCTTCATATGTAACTGGATTATCACACATTGAATAAAATGTTTCTGTTCTATACCTTACTGGTTTTTCTATATTTTGTCTATCTCTAAGTCTCATTTTTAATTGCTCATGAGTCTGATCTGCTGATTGATCAAGTTCATCCATATTTTGTTTTCTTTCAACATTATTCTCATCATTAATGTTATTTTCTTCACTTTCAACCACCATTTTTGAATTTATTTCTTCATCTTCTTTTCTAATTTTGATTTCTAATTCTTTGAATATAACATCTCTGCTTAATGAAACTTCTTTTCCATTAAAGCATATGCGGTATCCTTTAGTTTCTTCTAAATACCCAACAAATATTCCTTTTCTCCCTTTTTGATCCCATTGTCTACGTTTTTCTTTTGGTATATGAACATAAACTTCACTACCAACTACTTTAAAATTGCTTATATTGGGACTTTTATTATACCATAATTCATAGGGCGTTTTTTCTTTGTTACCTGAATTTAACGTACGATTCAATACATATACAGCTGTATTTACCGCTTCAGCCCAAAGATTTTTTGACAAATATTTACTGTATAACATAGTTCTAGCAGCTTCTACTATTGTACACATTGTTCGTTCCGCTTTACCATTTTGCTGTGGTGTATATGGTACACTGGTCTCATGTTTTATACCAAATTTATTCAAAATAGCTATGACTTCATCATTCTTATATTCCAAACCACAATCACTTCGTAAAGTAAGAACTGATATATTTAACTGATTTTTCACTGTATATAAGAATAATTCAAACTTCTCTTTTACTTCTGATTTTTGTTTCATAAAATATACATACGTATACTTAGAGTAATCATCTTTGAATATAACAAAGTATCTTTTACCACCAAGAGAATTTTTTTCCATGGANTACCACCAAGAGAATTTTCTTCCATGGGTCCACAAACATCACTGTGAATTATCTGACCTGGTTTTGTTGTTTTGGTACTGCTCAGTGTAAATGGTTCTCTGTGTTGTTTACCATAAACGCAAACTTCACAGAAAAATTTATTTTCTATATCCGTGAATTGAATACCCATATGCCTTAAGTAATTTCTAACATATTGAACATTCTGATGACCTAGTTTTTCATGCCACTGTTGTAATGTAAGAGTTTTTTCAGCAATATTCACTTGATTTATCTCTTGCGAAATCCTTGTATTAAAAACATCGAAAACAATTAATTCTCACGAATTCCAACAGCAACTGTACTATTTCCTCTTTTAAATGTACAAACATTTTTGTCTGTTATCATTATTATACCTTTATCAACGCATGCTCCACATGAAAACAAATTTACTTTGAGTTCAGGTACATGTAAAACATTTGACAAATAACTGTCAACCCATTTTTCGCCAATTTTTGCTTGAACATATATATTACCTTTACCAATAGCCATAATATATTTACCATCACCAATACGTACTGGCAATTGAATCTTGAACGACTCATTAATTCTGAACCACTCTCTTCTACTGGTCATGTGATCACTTGCACCGGAGTCCACACACCATTTATCAGAATCACTAATTTTGCTTACCAGTGAATTAACGCCCAATAGTGCATTACCAGAATTGGATTCGTTTTTATTCTTTCTATCTTGTTCTTTCTTCAAAATCCAGCAATCACGTTTCCAATGATCTGGTTTCTTACAAAAATTGCAAATTCCTGGTTTTCTATCATTATTTTGTTGACTTCCAAATTTTGAATATTTTTTATTTTTGCGTTCTGAACGTTTTTTTCGCCGCAAATGCACTATTTTCACCATTATTTTTCTGGATTTCATGGCCATTACTTTGTCTTGTTTCCTCTACCATTATTATATACAAATTAAAAGTGTGTGAAAGGTTATTAAAATATAAATATCTGTATTAAATTCCTTTTATGCAATTAAAATAGACTGATATTAGTTTTGCAGCAAGCACTTATTTATAATAGTTATAAATATATAATGTTCTAATTATTAGAACAATATATTTCCACTTGAAGGTTAAGTTAATCTCAATGTTGTCTCTAATGAATAAGACATAAATTTATATGTCGCTATTCAAATTTTTATTCATCAGGTTCTGTCATCTTAAATAATTTTTGATCCAGCTAATATTAAATGTTACTTCTTCATGATTGCCACAAATTAAGTGTTTTCAAATTCCATGATTTTCGAGTTAATAAAAATATATATACTTGGCTTAAGAGGCATATATTATTTTAGCGGAGGTGTGTTTTTATTGGCCATTCCCATCATTTTTATTATTCTTTGTTTACTCATTATAATATTAGAAACCAGTGGAATTGAACTTAAAAAACACTTTTTAATCTACCTCTATTACCTAAGAGTCGTAATTATACATCTATGAAGTGATTTGTATACAAAAACCTTCAACTCATTGTTTTTAATATGTAAAAAAATATATAATAGAATGGGAATCGTATCTCTAACCTCTCCTTTACATAATCTAAATATATTATTAATTTTGAAAAAGTCCAAGATAAATCATAATCCCTGATATTTCAAAATTTCCCAGACTTGTGTCAATCATTTTTTTACAGTTCTAGGTTAGAGGTACAGCTTGTTTTGGTATTGTGTATGTAGTCCACTCGTACTACATACCCTCTATGTTTTAAAACACTTACAACTCAATTTGTACTTATCTTTAATTTGTTGCTGACCTATCAAAATTTCTTTTAGGAAATGTGTTAAAAAAGGCTACTTTGAAATAAAAAAAAAATTTGATATAAATAATGAAAAATATTAGTTAACATAGTCCAAAACTATAAAAATTATATATATATACATAAACTTAAAAAATTTAACACAAAATGCTTGCTAAATCAAATTATTAAAAATGTCAGAATTTATTGGAATACATGTATATATTAAATCTGACATTAATTTAATTTAATCGTGATGATTATTGTTTAGAATGACAATATTTTTAGAAGAATGTAATAATTCAATCCTTATTTTGCATTTAATATTTCTGAAGGCATATTTTTATTATTTAACATACATGATACTAATATCGATTTCTCATATTATTTTGGTGTAATTGTTAAAAATAATATGTTAAGATATTAATTTGTATAGACTTATGTAAAAATGAATATTTAGGGGAAGACAGGATAGATTCAAACAAAAATAACTTAATATTATGTGCTTGAAGTATATAAAATATTAAGTATTGAAATATTAAAAGTATTATATAGCATTTAAAATAGCCATTTATGAAAAATATTTTTACTTTAAATGTATTCCAAAAATTTGGTACATTTGAATTTTTAAGGGAGATATTTTTATGTATTACTTATTATGTGTCAAAATAATAATGTTTCTCCGAGCATAACTCGAAAAAATATGTATAATTAAAATATGAGATGTACAGTTATTTATAAAGAATAAGTTACAATTATATCTCTAAATTAAGTACTCTTCCTAAATTAGCGAAATCTACAATTACAAATTTACTAGTCTATTATACAGACTAGTATCAAATATTAGTCTAAGTGGCCGCGTTGATGCGGTTTATACTGACCTTAGAAAAGCCTTTGATAGTGTTGATCATCATATTTTAATTAAAAAATTAACATATCTAGGGGTTAGTAGACAAATACAATTATGTTTCTTATCTTACTTAGTTAATAGAAAGCAACAAATCAAAATCGGAAAGTATAAGTCTACGGTCTTAAACGTGTCATCAGGAGTTCCCCAAGGGGGACACCTGTCACTTCACCTATTCATCCTATTTATGAATGACGTAAATTTCTGTTTTCAATACTGTAAATATCTATTGTTTGCAGATGACCTAAAGTTTTATTTGCCAATTGTAACATATTTTTTAATTGGTGCTAACGAAATAAACTATTTATTAATGCTAGTAAATGTTCAAAAATCACTTTTATTTGCAATAAAAGTTACTCAATATGTAATTATAGATTAGATAATAATAAATAAAAAATAGTTCATAGTATAAAAGATTTAGGTGTAAATTTGTAAAATTATTTGTCTTTTACTGAACATATAACTTTTATTTGTAATAAAGCATCTAGAACCCTTGGTTTCATAAAAAGAAATTACAGAGATTTTAATAATATAATTTGTCTAAAAACTTCATACTTTGCCTTAATTAGGTCTACGCTAGAGTATGTTTCTATCATTTGGTCTCCCTTTCTNATTAGGTCTACGCTAGAGTATGCTTCTATCATTTGGTCTCCCTTTCTAATGGGAGAAATAAAAAATAAGAGAT